AAAATAGCCTAGTGTGTACATCCACCCCTCCCCTCAAGAACTCGAACTTGTGTTATATGACCAAAATATATTGCGCATGAAAGGGTTTGAAAAAAAATATTTTGCGCCTATACCAAATCACCAACCCCAACAGTCCCCTCAGAAGTTAAATGGTCCACCCTAAAGAGAACACAACACCCACGGCAGGAGCACGAACCTGGACCCCTCGATCCAGAGTCCAATGTGCTGACATTTGGTCACTTGGTAGTATGTATGTATGTATGTATGTACACATGTGAGAAAATATCCCTGGAAGTCATTTTACAATGTTGTTCAGTGTTTGTTCACCAACCTTTGGTTTCTTGTAGAACCCTGACAGATACCACCTCACAACTTCCTTCATCCTGCTGTAAGCATTCTCTTCTCTAGCAGCTCTTCAAGAACAGAAAAACAAATTAAGTACAGGAATTGTTTGTCTTGAATCCACTACAAAACACACAAAGCACCCTGGCCTCAACCCCAATACACAGTGTGTGTGTGTGTGTCATGTCTGCTAATAAAAATGTCAGCAGAACAAAATAATTGAATACCTGGACAAAATGTCAGTATGGAAATAGAAGTCAGACAGCTTGTCCAGAAATGATCTGGGTTCCAGGATAAAGGTCGGTAAAGTAACCCTGGAAAGATCCATGCCAGGTTTAACCTGTTAAACAAGACATACAGGAAATCATTACATAAACTAGATACAGGTCATAGCTGAATGTCACATTTCTTCACTCGCTTTGGATGAATGTGCCAGAGTTACCAAGCAATATTACCGGTTTTATAGCCTGTGTACATCCACCTCCTCCCTAAAAAAAAAATCGTTGAGAGACATTTTTGGAGGGGAGGAGGTGGATGTACATAAAATATTTCAAAAAATAAATAAAATGTTAAATTTTAGAGAATTTTTTACTACTCTTACACCATTTTTGGAGCAATAAAAATGTGTCATGTTGTATGTGTCTTTAGAGTACAACATACCAATTTTTAAACAATCCAAGTGATGTGACATCCAGACATCATGTCTGACCACACTTGGGATTTCATCGGACATTGGCAAATTTTGGTTGGCCATTGTCCGATGACCAACTGTTATTTGCAGCCCTGCTAACCTGTTTTAGAAGTGCCCACAGAATGCTTTTGTTCTCATCTTCAATCTCCTCCAATGACTCACCAGCCTAACACAAAAAACAACATGCTTTAGCTCTGTTAAGCCTGATGTCAACACACAAATTATCCATACTGGTCTCCATACATTTATTATTAGTATTAGTTAGGAGAATGTGATGATGCATAACCCTTTAAGCCCTGATGAAATACATAAATTCTCCTACTGGTCTTCATACATTTCTTATAGTCCTAGTTGGGAGAATTAAATGATGTATTAATTGACTCTTTAAGCCTTGATGAAACATGTAAATCTCATTACTGATCAATTTGCATACATTTCTTATGGGCTGTCATCAGCCGTAACATCAAGTCAAAATCAAATGAACTCAGCCGCAACAGGTGTTACGGGTTACGGCCCTTGATGACAGCCCTGCAAGCATTATCTAGTGACAAGCAATGCACATGAAACTGAACTTGAGCTCACTCCAAAACTGCATGTCTTTTTTGATCAAATATGCAACCAACCAATTTTAATTTTTGATTAAAAAAAACATTTAGTTGTTCACAGAAACAAACCAATGTAAGTCACCTGTCCTAAGTACTCCTCGCCTTTCTCGCTGACATAACTTGTTTCCACAACAGGTCCTTCATCCACTTCATCATCAGCTTCTGTGATTAAAAAAGTGTATTGTGGGGGTGTTCTTGGGCACTTGACACTATTCTCTCACAATGCCGCTCTTCACCCAGGAGTATACATGAGTACCAGCAAAACTGTTTATAGGGCAACCTGACAAAATGCTGGGGTGTAACCTGCAATGGACTAGCATCTCCGATCTACTAGGGGGATCGAGTAACAATACTCCTAGTCACACCATGTGACATAAACCAGAGTTTATAAGTGATGCAACTCAGTATGAGCGACCACCATGGCTCAGGACTCCAGTCCCTAGGGTTGGAACATACTTCATATATATGCAGGATTTCAAATAGCCTGACGTAGCATTAAAGATCTTAATTGAAATGTTTCAAAGAATTGCATGCAAGGACTGAGTGCCTACCTCTGCCCAGTGGCCCTATTGTGTCATCTAATTCATTATCAGAGTCAGATTTTTCCTGTGAATAATAAACAATAATATTAGAACTAAATGAGATTGTGCAAAACATTGTGATTTGTCAGTGGTGAGCAATCATATCATACTGAGCAAAAAAATAATTGAACTTTCACAACAAACAAATACATGTACAGTAACAATTTGAGGGGGAAAAGAGGACAATATAATTCCTCTGAAGTGATATATTTGTGTTTCAATCAATCAATCAATCAATCAATCAATCAATCAATCAATCAATCAATCAATCAATCAATCAATCAATCAATCAATCAATCAATCAATCAATCAATCAATCAATCAATCAATCAATCAATCAATCAATCAATCAATCAATCAATTTCAGTGTCGAGTCTATTAGCTGTTCACAAGTGGACTACTAATAATTTGGGGACACTTCAGCAAATCTTAAAATTACAATAAAGATATTTACAATAAAATAAAATAAATAAATAAAAATAAATAAATAAACAAATAAATAACACTAACCATGGCATCGTTGCTGTCATCATCCTGATCTGTGGAAATTAAACATTAAAGGTTCATAAAAATGCATATTAACCAAACCAACTACATTTTGCATGTAAGTAACAAAATACAATCCTGTCACAATAAGGGATCAACTCAGATATGCTGGCAAATCGTCAAATAAAAATTACAGTGAAGGGCGCTCTACCATTGCCACTCAACAAAGTTTTTGATTAATTTTTGACAATTTTGTGATGGTAGCAAATCAAATTGCAAGAATTGTGGGAGGTGAAGATGTCAATTGCCAGAATGCGAACATGGAGCTTGAACGTGGAGCTTGACAACTTGGCCTCTCATAGTTCTTGCATTTTGATTGGCCAGTTGAAATGAAAGCCATTAGAAAGTTGACAAAAATTAATCGAAAACTTTGTCGAGTGGCAGTGTGCTATTCACTGTAATACTGCACCCAAACAAATCATTTACCTTGAATGCCTGGAATTCCACTTCATCATCTCTATCTTCTTTGTCATCTTTTCCATACAGTTCACTCAACCTGTCATAAAATAAATAATCAAATAATAATAAATAAAAGAAATGGGAATTTCAGTGGAAATCCACAGAGGGGCTCTTCTCTCCCACTGTTTCCAGATCAAATTGGAATTTAGAAATGTTGGTTTTTGTGGAGATCAGAGGAAAACCGGAGTACCTGGCGAAAAACCCTCGGAGCAACGATGGGAACCAACAACAAACTCAACCCTTAATGATGCCTGGTTAAAAACTGACACATTACCAGATTATAATTCTACTTATGTTTGCACAGTAAATTGAATCCAAGCACTTTCTATTATAATGTGGTCTCCTGTTGGTATACAAAAAAAAAGGAGAGGCAGGAAATACTATTCATGATACATACATTCCTTTGTTGTCTTTTTGAATGCTGTATCCCTGGTTTTGAGCGAACTTCTAAAGCATCTAACCAACAGTGACCTGAATCAAGAGAAGGGTACATGCATTTAGATCAGTCCAGTATTTTAAACAACACAGATTCTTAATGCAGAGAGCTTCTGGTTTCAAATGTTCAACAGATCTTGTCAACCAATGCGATCTAATTGGAAAATAACAATTGGAAACTCTTTGAGGGTATTGAACAAAGATTATCCAAAAACGGCGCTTGTTCCCCCAAATTAAATGAGATGCTACAACATACTCACCGTCAGATTCTGAATCAGCTCGTAAGATAAGATGATCCTTGGGCATGGGTTGAGCAATTGAACCCGCCATCTCCCCCTTGGGGCCTTTTGTTGCCCACATGTAGTGTTCCAGGGGGTGGTAGATCTTGAAGCAGAATCCTTCTTTCTTTGACGGCCTCTGTAGAATCTCGCAGCCATTCAAGAGCACAGTACCCACCCACTGACCATGCTGTGTATGGAAAGCAGGGACGTGTCAACATACAAAATCTCCTAACTGTTCTCAATACACTTTCTTATAATACCAGATGAGAGAGGTTTGTTTTTGATAAATAATTTATAATTATTATTTATCTTTAGTGATATAAATTATAATACAATCTTTCTCAAAGTAAGTTTCACTAGTGCTGAGTTCACAAAGAACACTTAGCACAATGGACCAAAAGACCGTATTTTTATAACACAAAACATTGTAGTCATTTACAGTGCGACATGCCTTAGCATAGCCACCCAACAAACATTTTTACAAGTTAACCATTGGGGAGCGCAAATTTGTTTGACGGACACGTCTCCTTGCAAAGTTGAACGCGATCAAATGGAAACTTTTTACATCGTATTTATCAACAAAAGTTATGATATTACAAGAGGACAATATTATTATAAAAAAGTTTCTTGGGTGGCTATGCTAAGGCGCATTGCACTGTAAATGTTGCCTGCAAGATGAGCCAGTAAAGGTTTAAATCGGTTCAGAATAATTATGTAACAAAAAACAAAATTCCTCTGTGTCAAAAACAGTAACTTGCAAATACAAGACTTTTATACCTTTGCACTTTTGTAAATAAGCAGCATGCCAGGCTTGACAACACACCAGAATTTACCCCAACCCTTCAATGTACCACGCACCTGAAATTCAACAAAAATAACGTGAAAGTTTGCACACAGGCCAAAGTGACGTGCCAGAGCTTATCCCATAGAATGAAACAACTATAAGTATTGTAAGTAATAAATTAATGTAAAGATGGTAAATAAATGTTAAGCTCGGTCATAGTATAGTAAGTAACTGTATTCAGTTTGTCACGAGCGTGGGACAAAGAAAAAAAATCGGAGTCCCAGATGGGATTTGAACCCATGACCTTCCGTACACCGGTTGGATGCGCTCTAACCACTGAGCTACAGAGTATCTCATGTGGTGAGTGGTTATATACTAGAAGTATTGTTATTCCCCATGTATAGGATGATGTATCAATATACCCGCGGGTGGAGAGAGGTACTGTGAGAGTAAAGTGTCTTGCCCAAGAACACAACGCAATGACCCCAGTCAGGGATCAATCCAAGGCCATTTGATCTGGAGTCTAATGCATATGCATTATTACCGAAGTATAACATATCAACAAATTCAAAACAAAAATGAAAACAAACTCCGAGCCTGTGCAGTACAGACTTCAATATGATGTAATTTTTATCATATCTTCGTTAATTATCACTGGAAATTAAAAAGAAAACTGTCAATTAACTTTACCTTGAGCCAAGAGGACAGAATAATAACTGAGGGGTCCTTCAGCGCACTTGATAACTCTTTTATTCTTCGTTTCTGCTCTCTGTCTGTAACTCTCTTTCATTGCCTACAACAGTTAATTTATTAATAATAATTATTATAATGAAAGTGCAACCCAACTATTTTGACTTGAATACAACCCAACTGATGCAGTTCTATAGAGTTATAGTTTCTCGCGAGATGCGTCTCATTTCTCTCAAGATGTGTCTCGTTTCTCGAATTGGAATGAATGAGTTAGGTCAGGCCAAATAGGAAAATATTTGGTTTTCATGAGTGTTCTTACAAGTAACTTCATCCAACAGGAGATTATGTAACACCAAATTATGATCAATCCAACCAAACATTTGACCAGCATAAACAGTAAAACACATGTCAACTTACCTTGAAAGATTCCTTGGATGTCTTTCTTGCGAAATGATGGAGATCTGTCCGGCCATGGCGAGTTTCTTCTCCAGCTGCTGCTGTTAACAAAAAAGTTGATCTGATCTTACTGCATGTTTCAATAACATTGCACAATCTGCTCAACCAATAGTTGCATTTTTGCTGCTGTCAATCATGTTAGCGGATATCTCAAGAAACATAGTTACATAACTGTCATGTAAGTGCACTTTATTGGGTTCAAAAGGTCAAGTCTGTGGGTTGTGATTGGTAGATTTTGATCCATTTTTTTTTTTCAGGGTCCATTGGTTGTAGTCTTCCCACTGTGGTAATTAGGCAATAAAAAACGCAATCATTACAGGGGCGGATCCAGGAATTTTAAAAAGAGGGGCCGTAGAAATTTCTATGAAAGACAATCTTTTCTGCATACCTTTCTAGGGGGGTCCGATTTGATAGTTTAAGTACTCTGAGATGCAATCTGGTACATTCTGGGGCAGGCGCTTAAATTTGGCAAATGTCAGGATCCCATATTGAACAAGAAATGTTGGAATATTTAATAAAATGTTTATAAGCTTAATTCGAACAACTTAATGTTCATATCAAATTGATAATATTACAGAAAAATAATTATATTGAACAAACCTATATCTCAAGTTGTTCCTTAAGTCTGTGGATGAAACCCTAGTGTGTGACCAATCAAATGAAAGCTTTGAACAGTACATTCATTTGGTACTGTTTGTTTTTGACAATTTTGCAAAATGAAATGTTTTTATTCAATATTTTTTCTTCAGTTTTGAACTTATTAGAACTCTTGGGAGTGAAAGTGTTAATAAACTATCATTATATCATAATATATACCAGTTTTTCTTTGTCTCTATCCTTCTTGTCCAACTTGACAGGTGGGGTGGAATTCCTTGAGTTTGGGCCATCAAATTTAAAGTTAATGTCTGTCTCATCTTGCACTGAAAGGATTCAAAATGGCATTATCAAATTTACAGCAGGATGGCTGCATGCCTTAATGGATACAACTAAAACAGCACAATATTCTGGTAGATAAAATATCAAAAATTATTTAGAACTGTTAATGTGATGCTACAGTTGTAAATACACTCAAGTACATGTATACATAGCCTTTTTAGGTCCTAAATTTACAAGAATGGTGATAGGACGGGTGAAGTACAACTTATGGAGAAATTGAGTGAGTATAGAACTTTCACATGTTATTTCTAATTTGTAGTCTAATGACTGAAGCGCGTTGGATAATAACTAGAGGTACTTTTATTATCTAATTCCACTTTATAGTAGAGTACAAAATTAATAATGCGCGAAATGAGTACAAATATCGTACTCTGGAGGCCAGTTAAACAGGTTTTCTGTATCTGCGCACAAGACAAAACATGGTTTAATGTCTGGATTTCAGAAAAGAAAAACATTAGATCATAAATCTCTTCTTAAAGATTTTAGTGTGTAGTATCGCTGTACATTTTTTACTCGTCATTTGTATTATGACTCAGCCCCACGGGGCTCGCCAAAATAGGCAAGACTTGTAAAAGTATACCGTGATAATTCACACTAAAATCTCTAATAAGATAATGTTTTTAGGGTGTATTTGTACTTTAAAATGCTATGATGTACACTAAAGAGTATTATTTTTATTGTTTATTTTATTTATAAGGGACACTGTCCCGGCGTATTTGCTCAAAACTGTTATAAACGCATGAAATGGTCCCTAAATCTATTAAATAAGAACTTAATAAACTCTAACTAAATGATAAAAAGCAATTTCTTCAAGAAATTCCATACTGCAACAAAAGTTTTGAAAAATTTCAAATACTTCCGAGCCAAATTTGAAACTTTGAAAAACTGACATCCTGACGTTTTTTCAAAAATCCATATTGCAATCCATTTCCATCCTCGCTGTCGTTCGTCATCCTCACTTCCTAATGGGTTCCTGTCATTTGTCGAGTGTTATTCTACAGAATCAAACCATTATTGATCAACTTCCTATGATCTAGATATGTTTCTGAGCTTCCCAAAATCATGCTAAAATCAGGACAGTGTCCCTTTAAATGTAATCATCATAATCAGCATAGGTATATACATGTACATGTCACGTCATTTGAGAAATCAAGTGAATTAATTCTAATTTAATAGAGACAACTAATAGTCTATGAATGCCCTACTGTGATTGTTATTTTAGTTCAAAATTAAACTTGATTGTTGTGGCTTACCACTGATTTCATTGCTACGCGACCTTTGAAGTCAAACCTCTGACTGTGAAGTTGGCAATACACTTCCGTCAATCATGCGTAACGATATGACGAGACATGTCTAGATGTTATTATACAAATTTGTGTTGTGTAACGCAATAGTAGTCGGTGCTGTTTTTGGATGTTTCTCTGTTTGTAGACGATGACAACGGATCCAGAAAAGTTCTTTCCTTTGCAAATGGCGGTAGCAAAGTGTAAAAGTAGAAAGCAGTGGCCTTTCAGTACATTACAATCGTGTGTGCATGATTTTGTCGCACGGCAGGAAAAAAGCCAAAAATGACCTATAAGGTACGCATGATTGACGGAAGTCTATTGCCAAGTGAATTTTGATTTTGAAGGTCGCGTAGCATTGAAATCAGTGGTAAGTTCATTACATTGACTAAAGGTAACACACAGTCAGCGGAAAATTATCTCAAGATATTTTATAATTTAAAGCTAACTACATTTTGTATATTTATAACAGAAGATCCATCAAATATTCGGAGTCTGCCAACCACAACAATAATTAACACACTGGTAGTGAATACATGCTTGTGGCCTATAAAGTCAATATTATTGTTATTTACTTTTTAGACACAGGTCTAATAAGTCTATAAAGTCAATGAGTGTCACTTTATAACACAATAACAGCATAAGAGAAGCACTTTTTTACCTGACAATTAAATATCAAGTCTTTGATTTCAATTAATTATTTATTCTGCTTGATTGTTGTGTTTATTAAACAAGAATAAAAATGTCCCACAGAAGACAAATAAAACACTGTTTAACACAACTGCTATCAAGCAGCATTAAGATCAAAATAATGTTACTTTAAACTACTGACCTGGGATACACCGAAAGCTGCTCTTATAATAAAATTTTTACTTCAAAACCCAGCATTTGAAACAAAAGGTAATTTACGTCCACAATTTGCTAAATGCTGTAATTAACACCATATTGAAACTTTCCCTTAGAAGAAATTAAGACGCATGTTAAAATTGCTCCGACTATTGAAGTTGGGACACCCAAAAACATTTAAACTGTAAAACGTATTTTTTTAACAGCTGGTTTCTTTCAAGAGAAACGTGTGAAATAAATTTTACTGCAAACTACATTGTACAATGTATGTACCAAGAAATCAAATAAAGACTAATGATATATGCTTTGCTTTCGCAAAAATAAATTAAAACTACCAGTATTAGTGTCAAATTGTTATTGCTGAAGCAGTAGCCAGATGATTCACAATTAAAATACAACGCATTTCAAACTAAAAATAATCATGGAAAATTAAATACATATTCAAGTCATAAATCGCATACATGTATGTAAATACAACTAAAAACAGAACATAAATGTCACAGAACTGACTCCAATAGATTACATGTACCGGGTAAAATATTGTTTGACTGAGCAAAATGTTCTTGCTCAAAGCATTTTGCAACAGCTACATGTAAGCTCTTTCAGGATTCTGAAAATGACCTTCTAAATACACATACTGGTATATATATACACCTGTTTCTGAACAAACCTTGACAATAGACCCCATATTAACTACAAAATTTGATATGTACTGTGTACCTTGTCTTCGTTTGCTCTTATCCCTCCTTGCTGACATAACAACTTTGAATTTGCGGATATTCACCCAGTGTCGGCCCAGCACTGTACATATAAACATTTAACTCTTGCATGCAGCAGTAATTTCCATTTCTACTTGAAATACGTAGCTTATTTCCTGCTCAACAATGGCTTTGAACACCTTTAAGACATCACAATGTATGCACGGTGCTTGGAAGAAGCTGGAATCCTAATTTATATTTTAATCCTTGCTAAGCTATAAATCAGAAAACCAATCAATTACATGAGAAACCAAACATATGTGCCACTATCAACAAAGTCTTCCATGAAATGAATTATTCAGCACCCAATAAAACTCTTACACACTCGAGACAATTCTTTAATTCAAATTGCAAATTGAGCTTTGAATATTTTTTAATCATGT